ATTATCGAGGGAGAAGAACCACCATTGCAAGAAGAAAACACCAATGAAATCGAGGAACCTGAAGCAGAACTTGATGACATCCTACTCATTGATCCGCATAATCGTGAATACGAAGATGTCCCTGATCACTCAACGGACGACGTTGTTGAGGACGAGTTTGCCGAAAATGATGATGTTTCTACGGATTATGAGAATGTATTCGAATGAATTATGTATGTTTTTATAAGTTTGTTTAATCAAAAAACCAATTTCAATAAAGTATGTTTTATGTTTTTAAGCTTGTTTAATAAAAGATATGAATTTGGGATTTAGGTGTAGAAGAGGTTAGGATTTTAGTTGTAGGAGAGGTTATAAGTTAAGGAAGTTGTGGTTTGGGGTTTGGGGTTTCGAATTTAAGGAATTACAAACACTTTCCTCGTAAAGGCCTAGTAATAGAAAACACGGGCATAGCTATTTCCTCGTAAGCATTACGAGGACTTTAAGAGGAAAGATACGAGGATCTTACGAGGAAAAGGTACTTTTCCTCGTAAAGCCCTAGTAATGAGCTTTGTTACTAGGAAATTAAGAGGAACTAGATAGATTCCTATCAATTTCCTAGTAAACTCTCAGATTCCTATAAATACCACCATATGTGATTCATTTGAAACACACCAAACAAATAGAAAACACTCAATTCATAACTGAAAGGAGTTCACAGTCAACATAATAGTTTCTTATCAACTCCTCGTAGCTTTTCCTCGGGTAGATAGTTCGAGGAAAGCTATGTGGGGTTGATAAAAACCGTTACGATGACTATATACTTCTTTTAGTTTTTTTTAATTAGGTTTAAGGTTTAGGTTTAGGGTTTAATTAAGTTTAAGGTTCAGGTTTATTGTTTAATTAGGTTTAAGGTTTAGGGTTTAGGGGTTTACAAACCCTTTCCTCGTAAAGCCCTAGTAATAGAAAACACGGGCATAGCTAGTTCCTCGTAAGCATTACGAGGACTTTACGAGGAAAAAAACGCGGGCATAGCTATTTCCTCGTAAGTATTACGAGGACTTTACGAGAAAAAAAACGCGGGCATAGCTGTTTCCTCGTAAAGCCCTAGTAATATTACTAGGGCTTTACGAGGAAACAAAATTTCTTATATATACACGAGCAATTCGACTGCTCAGTCATAGTAACTTCCTCTCTACTTTCTCTTAAGGTACTCTCTAGTTCCTAGTTAGGTGATTAGATTAGGTGGTTAGTTTAGGGAATTTAGATTAGGTGGTTAGTTTAGGGAATTTAGATTAGGTGGTTCGATTATGAATTTTTAAATACGTTTGTTTAACTGTTTCTGTTTTCTGTTTTTTTTTTAAATNATGAGGGGATTCATTATGCGGATATATTCGGGTCCGGGTCCTCTTCATCAGCGGCCGGTGGTTCAGCTTCAGGAGTTCCCGAGACCCAGGCCGGTTTTACGGTATCCCGGTCTCAGCAGCCACCTCCTCAGCCTCCTCCTCAGCAGCCACCTCCTCAGCCACCTCCTCAGCCACCGGTCGGGATTCATCCTGACTTGCAAGTACCTCCCAACGCACCATTTGCGGTGTACACGGTGGAGGATATCTTGGCCCTTCCAGGCAGAGAAGGGCTACCAGAGTTAGATCCTTTCCGGCGGGACGGCCAAAACGTATTATGGTATGTTTTAATTTTTAAATTTTTTTATTAAATAATTTTTAAAAAGTGTTATGGTATGTATATATATATATATATGTTTCTTATTAATGATTTATTTTCTGTCTTTCCAGGTTTGGTCTTGACAATGCTGTCGGATCTAGCGTCACGGACTGTATCAAGGGATACTTTCCCGATGCAGCTCCAAACTGGAAGCTGACGGCGAGCCACTCCAAAAAGACGTGGTTCAACTCGTTCGCTGTAAGTAATTTAGTAAATCAATTTAATTTATTTATAATCATTTAAAATTATGAATTTTATTGAACTAATCCGTCTTATATTTTTTCTGGTTGCAGCAAAAATACCGTTGGTCTATTGGGATTCACCAGCGGGTGAAGACCGAGTTCGAGACCAAGGCAAAAGCCCGATTGTGCGACATGGTCTACAACTGGAAGAGCGACTTTCAGGTATAAATTTAAAAATTATAATATATATTAATTATACTTTTATTTAAAAATATATTTTATTGACTTTTATTCTAATTATTTCAAATCTGCAGGTGAATGGTTACGAGCGCGGGAAACCCGATTGCCTCACAACCACGGTGTTGGATGGCCTCATCAGCTATTGGACGTTGCCGGATTCGATCCGAACGTCCAATACAAACTCCGGGAATCGCATGGCCACGGACCAGCATGGCAACACGAAGACACTTCACACCACGGGCCTCGGATTAGCAGTGATGTAACCCAAAAATTGTATAAGCAGTGAAACTTGATATCAATCACAAATCACGAAATCTGATTTGTATTTAGACTTCTTAATTTTTGGGTTACATCACTGCTTATACAATTTTTGTGATTGATATCAAGTTTCTCTGCTTATACAATTTTTGGGTTACATCACTGCTAATCCGAGGCCCGTGGTGTGAAGTGTCTTCGTGTTGCCATGCTGGTCCGTGGCCATGCGATTCCTGGAGTTTGTATTGGACGTTCGGATCGAATCCGGCAACGTCCAATAGCTGATGAGGCCATCCCACACCGTGGTTGTGAGGCAATCGGGTTTCCCGCGCTCGTAACCATTCACCTGCAGATTTGAAATAATTAGAATAAAAGTCAATAAAATATATTTTTAAATAAAAGTATAATTAATATATATTATAATTTTTAAATTTATACCTGAAAGTCGCCCTTCCAGTTGTAGACCATGTCGCACAATCGGACTTTTGCCTTGGTCTCGAACTCGGTCTTCACCCGCTGGTGAATCCCAATAGACCAACGGTATTTTTGCTGCAACCAGAAAAAATAAAAGACGGATTAGTTTAATAAAATTCATAATTTTAAATGATTATAAATAAATTAAATTGATTTACTAAATTACTTACAGCGAACGATTTGAACCACGTCTTTTTGGTGTGGCTCGCCGTCAGCTTCCAGTTTGGAGCTGCATCGGGAAAGTATCCCTTGATACAGTCCGTGACGCTAGATTCGACAGCATTGTCAAGACCAAACCTGGAAAGACAGAAAATAAATCATTAATAAGAAACATATATATATATATACATACCATAACACTTTTTAAAAATTATTTAATAAAAAAATTTAAAAATTAAAACATACCATAATACGTTTTGGCCATCCCGCCGGAAAGGATCTAACTCTGGTAGCCCTTCTCTGCCTGGAAGGGCCAAGATATCCTCCATCGTGTACACCGCAAATGGTGCGTTGGGAGGTACCTGCAAGTAAGGATGAATCCCGACTGGTGGCTGAGGAGGTGGCTGCTGAGGAGGAGGCTGAGGAGGTGGCTGCTGAGACCGGGATACCGTAAAACCGGCCTGGGTCTCGGGAACTCCTGAAGCTGAACCACCGGCCGCTGATGAAGAGGACCCGGACCCGAATATATCCGCATAATGAATCCTCTCATCTACAGGCCTCTTGGACTGAGCAGCATCAAGTTTGCTCTTTCTAACCATCTAAATTTAAAAAAAAAAAAACAGAAAATAGAAACAGTTAAACAAACGTATTTAAAAATTCATAATCGAACCACCTAATCTAAATTCCCTAAACTAACCACCTAATCTAAATTCCCTAAACTAACCACCTAATCTAATCACCTAACTAGGAACTAGAGAGTACCTTAAGAGAAAGTAGAGAGGAAGTTACTATGACTGAGCAGTCGGATTGCTCGTGTATATATAAGA